CCTTTTATCCTTCATCAATTCTATGATTAACCTCATCCTTCATAAATCCATCCGCTGACATGTCAACTCCCGAATATCTGAAAACATTCACTTCTTGCATACTTCTCCTCCCCAATTTGATATCCAATTTTTCTTTATCTATATCATTTGATACTCTCATCACCTTACTCTTTTCTATGTTCACTTTCAACTTTCTACTTTTACACGCATTCCCAAATTCGTCCACTAACCTTAGCAATTTTTCTTTTGAATCTCCCATAAGCACAGTATCATCAGCAAAAAGTAACTGTCACTTCCCATTTTGTATTTAATTCCCCATAATTTAATCTCACCCCTCTCCCCAACACCCTAGCATTTACTTCTTTTACAACCCCATCTATAAATATATTAAACAACCATGGTGACATTACATATCCCTGTCTAAGACCTACTTTTACCGGGAAGTAGTCTCCCTGTCTTCTACACACGCTAACCTGAGCCTCACTATCCTCATAAAAGCTCTTTACAGCATTTAGTAACTTACCACCTATTCCATATACTTGCAACATCTGCTACATTGCTCCCCTGTCCACTCTATCATATGCCTTTTCTAAATCCATAAATGCAATAAAAACTTCCCTACCTTTTTCTAAATGCTGTTCACATAAATGCTTCAATGTAAACACTTGATCTACACATCCCCTACCCACTCTAAAACCTCCTTGCTCATCTGCAATTCTATATTCTGTCTTACCTCTAATTCTTTCAATAATAACCCTACTGTACACTTTTCCTGGTATACTCAGTAAACTTATTCCTATATAATTTTTACAATCTCTTTTGTCCCCCTTCCCTTTATATAAAGGGACTATACACGCTCTCCGCCAATCCCTAGGTACCTTCATACATTTATTAAACCAAAATGCCAACCACTTCAACACTATGTCCCCCTTTGCTTTTAACATTTCTGTCATGATCCCGTCAGTTCCAGCTGCTTTACCCTCTTTCATTCTACGTAATGCCTCACGCACATCCCCCACACTCACATCCTGCTCTTCTTCACTCCTAAAAGATGATATTCCTCCCTGGCCAGTGCATGAAATTACCACTTCCCTTTCTTCGTCGACATTTAAGAGTTCCTCAAAATATTCTCGCCATCTACCCAAAACCTCCATCTCCCCATCTACTAACTCCCCTACTCTGTTTTTAACTGATAAATCCATTTGTTCCCTAGGCTTTCTTAACTTGTTTAACTCCAAATTTTTTTCTTATTTTCATTAAAATTCCTTGACAGTATCTCTCCCACTCTATCATCCGCTCTCGTTTTGCACTCTTTCACCACTCTCTTCAGCTTTGTTTTACTCTCCATATACTCTACTCTTCTTATAACACTTCTGCTTTGTAAATACCTCTCATAAGCTACCTTTTCTCTTTTATCAAAACCCTTTACTTCATCATTACACCAATCACTCCTCTTTCCTCCTGCACCCACCTTCATATAACCACAAACTTCTGCCCCACATTCTAATACTGCATTTTTAAAACTACTCCAACCCTCTTCAACCCCCCCCCCCCCTTGCTCATACCTGCACCAGCCCACCTTTCTGCCAATAGTTGCTTATATTTCACCCGAACTTCTTCCTCCCTTAGTTTATGCACTTTCACCTCCCTCTTACTTGTTGTTGCCATTTTTCTCTAATCCCATCTACCTCTTACTCTAACTGTAGCTATAACTAGATAGTGATCCGATACATCAGTTGCCCCTCTATAAATGTGTACATCCTGGAGCCTACCCATCAACCTTTTATCCACCAATACATAATCTTAACAAACTACTTTCATTACGTGCTTCATCATACCTTGTATATTTATTTATCCTCTTTTTCATAAAATATGTATTACTTATTATCAAACCTCTTTCTACACATAGCTCAATTAAAGGCTCCCCATTTTCTTTTACCCCTGGCACCCCAAATTTACCTACTACTCCCTCTACAACATTTTTTCCCACTTCAGCATTAAAATCCCCAACCACAAGTACTCTCACACTTGGTTCAAAACTCCCCACGCAATTACTCAACATTTCCCAAAATCTCAATCTCTCTCTCTACTTCTCTCTTCCCCAGGTGCATATACGCTTACTATAACCCACTTCTCACATCCAACCTTTATTTTACTCCACATAATCCTTGAATTAATACATTCATAGTCCCTCTTTTCCTGCCATAGCTTATCCTTCAACATTATTGCTACTCCTTCTTTAGCTTTAACTCTATTAGAAACCCCTGACCTAATCCCATTTATTCCTCTCCACTGAAACTCACCCACCCCCTTCAGCTTTGTTTCACTTAAAGCCAGGATATCCAGCTTCTTCTCATAACATCCACAATCATCTCTCTCTTATCATTTGCACAACATCCACACACATTCAGACTTCCCACTTTGACAATTTTCTTCTTATTCTTATTCAAGAATTAACAATGCAGGCATTCCTGGCACTAAAATAGATTTCCTCTGTTTATTAGTTACTTTCCCAGGTTTTACACATGAATTCCATTTTGAATTTTTCACACAAAAAAATAGAAGATTTTCTGTTATGCATTATGGTAATAATTGTATAAATAATGTCACTGCATTCATGAACACACATTAGACCAACCAGTGGATACGTATTGGAAGAGTTATGCGATTTTATTTTCCTCTGGAATATCGACAAAACCTTAATATTTCCTGTACTTTGAGCTCAATTTTAAGCTATTTTCAGTCCTCAAACCAATTAAAATAATTTCTATTTCTGTAATATATCTTCCATTCTATCAAATGAGACCAAGAAACCATTAATACACCCATAAAAAACATATGAGAATACACCACAAATTCACTGCTTTAAACCAAAAATACGGTGCATGCTTACGACATAATCCCTTTCTCTCATATCTAGGCCCAAATTTACCGCTCGCAGCTTATCTGAATGAGCTGAGCTCATGGTGTAGTTCTTGGGCACTGATCCTTAAGGGGTTAAAGAAAATGCCTTAACCATCATTCAAGTGCTATTGATCCGGAGATGTTCTTGATTCATTGTTATAGAATGTAAATTTGAATGACTTTATCCTATCCCAGTGACTTCATTTGAGCCCACCTCTACTAAGTTGGGTTAATATTGACCTAGGATGGCTGCATTCAATTAACTTGATAAGAGTAATAACTAGCTGCAATATATTAGTCTTGTTTTTCTTAATTTGTATAAAAAATGTGTACAATATATTGCAACATACAAGACAAGGGTATAACTTGTCACTTGTGGGGTAAAAAGGGCACCTGGTAAGATGTAATTTAACCCTTTAGGGTCCAAGCCGTAGATCTAGTATATCATGAGCTCAGCTCACTCAGATAAGCTGTGAGTTGTAAATTTGAGCCTAGATATCAGAGAATGCATCTGTGGTAATGGTAAGTGTTCACCATATAAAACAAATACTACAGCACACAGTGCATAACGCGAGATAAAAATGCGACCATGTGTTTCAATTCAACCTTTGAGGGTCGAGACCCCCCCATCCTAAACACGTTCTCAGGGTCGAAAAATTTTCAAACATAAATTTTTTTTTATGAAATGATAAAGAATCTTTTCCCAATCATAATGACAGCAAAAGTATGAAATTTGGTGGAAAACTTAGGGAATTATGCTCTCACAAAGTTAACAGTCTCGGCGATATTTACGCATTAGCGATTTTGTCCACTTTGAGCCCTATTTTTGGCCAATTCCAATATTTCAGTCGACTAAAATCATAGCTATTTCGCTAAAACTCCATTTGTTCTATCGTTTGAGTGCAAGAAACTGCCCATTTACCGATTTCAACTACCCAATAAAGTGATCAGAAATTGGCAATTTGGCCAATTTTACACAAATTTCAAAAGATGCCAATTTCAAAATAGGGTCCATAATAAACAAGACAGACAGTCCTGGCACTAAAATAACACTTTCTCTGTTCATCAGTCATGTCCCCCAGCCCCCTCTTATATTACTTTTGCTTTCCATTTTGAATTTTTGCTCACAAAAAATATTCACTTTTATGCAGACTACTGCATTATTGTGAAAAGGGCATAAATAATATCAACACACTTGTGAAAGAATACGTATTAGACTCGCCAGTTGACGTGTATTGGACGCGTGGTGTGATTTGTTTACTCATGAACATTAGCAAAAATGGAACATTTCTGCTACTTTGAGTTCAGTTTCAAGGTACTTTTCATTGTGAAACCAATCAAAATCATCTCTATTTCTGTAATATATCTTCCATTCTATCAACAGAGACCAAGAAAACAAGAATACAACCATAATTACCATATGGAAATACACGGCAAAGTCGCTGTTTTAAACCAATAACACGGTCGGAGTTTTTTTTTTTCTCGTGCACTGCATGCTTCAGGATTTTTTTTTATACTGGAAAGCAAAAGAAATGTAAGAGGGGCCTGGGGGACATGACTAATGAATAGAGAAAATGTTATTTTAGTGCCAGGAATGTCTGTCTTGTTTATTCTGAACAATATTTGGAAATTGGCATCTTGATATTTTTGTGAAATTGGCAAAATTGCCAATTTCTGACCACTTTATTGGATAGTTGAAATCGGTAAATGGGTGGTTTCTTGTACTCATTTGATAGAGAAAATGGAGTTCTAGTGAAATAGTTGTGGTTTTTGTTGACTAGTACACTGGAATTGGCCGAAAATAGGGCTCAATGTGGGCGAAATCGCCGATGTGTAAACATTGTCGAGACAGCTAAATTCGTGGGAGCATAATTCCGTAAGTTTTCCATCAAATTTCACACTTTTGGTGTCATTATGATCGGGAAAAGATTCTCTATCATTTTATAAACATAATTTTTTTTTTTCCGAAAAATTTTCGACCCTCAGAACAAGTTTAGGAGAGGGCCTCTCGACCCTGAAAGGGTTAATGCCACATTACTCAGCTTGTTGTAAACAAAGTTGTAATTTTGATTTATACTGATTTTTTTTTTCTCCAGGGAGTGGTAAGTGGAGGACTCTCTATTGGGGGAAGTGCATCCTTGTCACCCCGTGTGGCTTCTCCCAACCCAGATGCTTCAAACATGCTCAGCCCTCACATTTTACAGCAGCAGTCTCGTCTTTCTCCACTTAGTAAGTTTCTGTACGACATTTGGCTATATTTAAGTAGAAAATTTATTTGACTAGTTTTGTTTTAACCTTCTTCCTTATTGGCAATGATTTTGGACTTGAAAATTTTGAAAACGACATATAGGAGAAAAAGGTATTTACTTTTGCTGATCAGTGGATTTAGATAATAATTTATAGTTTATAGTGTATAATATGTGGGATTTGCAATAGATTTGTATGTGCAAATTATTAAAAAAAAAAGAATTGGTTCTTATGCAAATTCTACACTACATCGGAACCTTGGTTGTCAAATTTAATTCTTTCCAGATGTCGATTTGACAGCCAAACTAGACAACAACCAAAGCAATTTTTCCCATGAAAAATAATGTAAATAGAATTAATCCGTTCCAGACCCCAAATGACAATATAATTATTAAAAATGTACTAACTGCTACTTAAAACTGTGAAAATGATTACTAAAAGAAACTTTAACTAAAATACTGTACAGTAAAGGAAAATTTAACTGCCCTTACCTGTCAGAAGAAAGCTTATGGCATACTAGAAACAGGAGGTGGAGGAGAGGAGGGGGTATGTTACTGCTTGAAAGAGTCACCTTCTATTAATATGTCAGGCAACTGTCCTTTTGATGTTTCTCTTTTGTCTCTTTTTCACCACTAACACGATGTTCTGGCTCACTGGTTTTTCTTAGTAAAAGCCTGTCCAGTGAGGTTTGTTTCAGGCTCCATTTTAACACTTGTCTAAACTGACATCACACTGTCATTGTACATGTCTGGATGGTATTTTACAGCAAACTTCTGCACTTCACGCCATTTAGCACACATTTCCTTAACAAGTGCAATGGGCACATCATCCCTTCCCTGTCTCCTCACAATTAAACACTTGTTGGAGACAAACTCCTCAGCCTCTATGTACTCTTGGAATTCAGTAATACTGTGAATGCCACTTCTTTTCTTAAAATTACTCCTACTAGCTTTGAAGGATTTAGTTTCAGCACCTGGTTTTTTTTCTTTTTCTTTTTTTTTTTTCCCCCAGGAGGTTATGCAGTGCCTTGCTTTTTCACAAATATTGGCGTCTGAAAGACTGCCACCATGGAATTGTTTTTCAATTATCCAAATTGACACGTTTTTCAACCTCCTCAATAAATTGTGCCCTTTGCTTTGATATCACTTTCACATCTTTTGCAAGGTCAGCTGCTTTTATTTTTTTCCTTTGACCCAGTATCATGCTAATGGTAGACTTTGATTTACCATAAAGACTCGTTGCCCAGTGCGCATTCTGTGAGCACATAACCTGAGCAATTTGCGTTGTCAGTCTACAACCAAGAGAAGATATGAAAACCAGGACATTTTTCTGGAATTCTTCGTTCGAGAACCAATTTGTTCGACTAGTAATGCAGTCAACAACCGAGGTTCCACTGTATTACTTGAATATGAAGCAGAGATAACCACAAAAATGGAAGTAATAAAAAAATACCTAACCTAACTTAGTACAGTGGAGCTTGCCTATAACCAATATTGCCATTAGCCGAATTAATTTATCCTTTTCAGACAGCCAAAAGTACAGTGGTCCCTCGTTTATCGTCGTTAATCCGTTCCTGGAAGTGTGATGATTATCGAAATAGACAATTTTCGAATCAATTTTCCCCATAAGAAATAATGTAAATACAATTAATCCGTTCCTGACACTCAGACATATTAAACAAATTTTTTTTTTTACATGAAATATAGATGTAGTACATAAACAATACAATGGGACATAATGAATGAAACATTAACAGCATAACACTTACCTTTATTGGTGATTCTTCTTTTTGTATGGAAGACTGGAGGAGGAGAGAGATTGGATTAGTTACTGTTTGGAAGGGGAATCCCCTTCCATCAACACCTCAGGTACCAATTGCTTTTCTAGGGTTACTTCTCTTCTCTGTTTCTTAATGCCACTAGGACCACCTTGAGTCACTGGAGTCCTGTCTCGCAAAAAAAAACTGTCCAGAGAGCTCTGTTTCTGGCGTCTCTTTAAAACTTCCCTAAAATGGGCCAAGACTCTGTCACTGTACAAGTTGCTGATATGGCTTGCAACAGCCTTCTCAGGGTGATGTTTCTCCATAAATCTTTCCATCCTACCCTACATTTCAAAAATCTCCTTAATTTCTGAAGAAGGCACCTTCTTCCATCTCTCTTCCTCCTCCTCTGCAGCAAGATTTTGAGCTGCGATCTGTTGCTGTTCCTGCTGAAGCTCTTGCAGCTCCTCAGTGGTTAGCTCTTCGTTGTGGTCCTCCACCAACTCTTCCACATCCTCCAAACTCATATCCAACCCCATGGAACTCCCCAATGCCACAATAGAGTTGGCAACTGACATAGGCTCATCAGGGTCAGCCACAAACCCTTCAAAATCCCTCTTGTGGACACAATCTGGCCACAATTTTCTCCAAGCAGATTCAAAGTCCTGGTAGTTACTCCCTCCCAAGCCTTACCTATAAGGCTTATGCAATGGAGGATACTGAAGTGTTCTTCCAAAACTCTCTTAGGGTCAAGTGAGTGTCTGAGGTCACATTAAAGCACCTGTGAAACATTGCTTTCGTTTAGAGTTTTTTAAAGTTTGAAATGACCTGCTGGTCCATGGGCTGGGGGAGAGGAGGAGGTATTCGGGGCAAGAACTTTACTGTGATGAACCCAAACTCCTGCAGAATTAGGTCACCCCAATTTTTGGGGGATGAGTGGGTGCATTGTCCATTACTAGAGGCACTTGAGATCCAATTTCTTTTCCAGGAGGTAATTCTTCACACTAGGGCCAAACACTTCATTGAATCGCTCAACGAAAATTTCCCTCGTGACCCATGCCTTATTATTAGATCTCCAAAACACACACAATTTACTCTTCATAACATTTTTTTTTTTTTTAAAACACTGGGATTTTCAGAATGGTACACTAATGATGGCTTCACTTCGAAATCCCCACTAGCATTAGCACAGAACATAAGCGTCAGCCTGTCTTTCATTGGCTTGTGTCCTGTGAGTGCCTTTTCCTCCTGAGTAATGTAGGTCCTCTTTGGCATTTTCTTCCAAAAGAGGCCTGTTTCATCACAATTGAACACTTGTTCAGGTTTGAGTCCTTCAGCCTCTGTGTACTACTTGAAATTCACTTAAGAATTTTGTAGCTGCAATTTTGTTCGAACTGGCAGCCTCGCCATCCCTAATCTCTCTCTCTCCCCTCTCTCTCTCCCCCCCCTCCTCTCCCCCTCTCCTCTCCCCTCTCTCTCTCCCCTCTCTCTCTCCCCCCCCTTCTCCCCCCCTCCCTCCCCCCCTCCCTCCCCCTCTCTCTCCCCCCTCTCCCCTCTCTCTCCCCCCTCTCTCTCTCCCCCCTCCCCCCCCTCTCCCTCTCCCCCTCTCTCTCCCCCCTCCTCCCCCCTCTCCCCCTCTCTCTCCCCCTCTCTCTCTCCCCTCCCCTCCTTTCCTCTCTCTCTCCCCTCTCCCCCTCTCTCCCCCCTCCTCCCCCCTCCCCCCCTCTCCCCCCTCCCCCCCCTCTCTCCCCCTCTCCCCCTCTCTCCCCCCTCCCCCCCCCCCCCTCTCTCCCCCCCCTCTCCCCCCTCCCCCCCCCCTCTTCCCCTCTCCCCTCTCTCCCCCCCTCCCCCCTCCCCCCCTCTCTCCCCTCTCTCCCCCCCCTCCCCCCTCTCCCCCCCCCCCCCCTCCCCCCTCTCCTCTCTCCCCCTCCCCCCCCCTCCCCTCCCCTCTCCCTCTCCCCTCTCTCCCCTCTCTCCCCCCCTCCCCCCTCTCTCCCCCCTCCCCTTTTCCCCTCCTCTTCCCCTCTCTCTCCCCTCTCCTTCCCCCTTCCCTCTCCCCTCTCCCCCTTCCCCCTCCCCCCTCTCTCCCCCTCCCCCTCTCCTCCCCCCTCCCCTCTCCCCCCTCCTCTCTCCCCCCCCCCTCTCTCCCCTCCCCTCTCTCCCCCTCTCTCCCCCTCCCCTCCCCCCCCCCCCCCCCTCTCCCCCCTCTCCCCCCCCCTCTCCCCCTCTTCCCCCTCCCCTCTCTCCCCCTCCCCCTCTCTCCCCCTCCCCTCTCTCCCCCCTCTCTCTCCCCCCTCCCCCCCCCCCTCTCTCCCCCCCTCTCTCCCCCTCTCCCCCCCTCTCTCCCCTCTCTCCCCTCTCTTCCCCCCCTCCTTCCCCCCTCTCCCCCCCTCTCCCCCCTCCCCCTCTCCCCCTCTCCTCCCCCCTCTCCTCCCCCCTCCCCCCTCTCCCCCATCTCCCCCCTTTTCCCCCATCTCCCCCCCTTCTCTCCCCTCTCACCCCCCTTCTCCCCCTCCCCCACTCTCCCCCCCCCCTCCCACCCCCTCTCTCCCCCTCTCGTCCCCCTCTCCCCCTCTCTCCCCCTTTTCCCCCTCCCCCCTCTCTCCCCCCTCTCTCCCCCTCCCCCCCTCCCCTCTCTCCCCCCTCTCCCTCTCTCCCCCTCTCTCCCCCTCTCTCCCTCCTCCTCTCCCCCCCTCTCTCCCCTTCCCTCCTCCCCCCTCTCCCCCTCTCTCCCCTCCCTCTCCCCTCTCTTCTCCCTCTCTCCCCCCCTCTCCCTCTCCCCTCTCTCCCCTCCCCCCTCTCCCCTCTCTCTCACCTCTCCCCTCTCTCCCCTCTCCCCCCCTCTCTCCCCTCTTCCCCCCTCCTCCCCTCTCTTCTCCCCCCCTCTCTCACCCCTCTCTCACCCCCTCTCACCCCTCTCCACCCCCTCTCACCCCTCTCTCACCCTCTCTCACCCCTCTCTCACCCCCCTTCTCACACCCTCTCTCACCCTCTCCCCCCTCTCCCTCCCCCTCCCCCCCCTCCCCCCTCCCCTCTCTCCCCTCCTCTCTCTCCCCCTCTCTCCCCCTCCCCTCCTCCCCCTCTCTCCCTCTCTCTCCCCTCTCCCCCCCTCTCTCTCCCTCTCCCCCCCCCCTCCCCCCTCTCTCAACTCTCCCTCTCCCCTCTCTCTCCCCCTCTCCCCCTCTCTCCCCCTCTCCCCCCTCCTCTCCCCTCTCTCCCTTTC